TGATGATAACTCAATATCCGACACTGGATCTGGTCTACCTGATAATAAAATAAAATGTACTGTAACATGTCTATCCTAATTATACATTCAAAATCTTAAATTATATCAACACAGCGTCAGGGAATACATTAATATGTTACTAAAGCAATGTATATGTTTTCCGGGAGTGTAGGAGAATAACAATACTGTACACAGATATCTTCATTTGTCTCTGGGATTAGTTTCTTTATCACCTTCGTCTTAGAATTGTGCTACAAAATCACAAACATATTGCAGAAGTTGGTCTGAATACTTCTGACGGGATCAGAATAACAATTAAATGCATCAATGAACTATCCAAGACACATGCAGTCCAATCTCGCGAATACCATTCTCAACTCCATGCAGATTTGCTTCCTTGGTTGTCCACAATACATTTCATAAATGTGTGGAAACAATGACTGAAATATGCACACAGTTCATTTCTTCTTTATCATAGGTATATCTTGCAAATAGCATGACATGACATAATATGATATAAAGATTAGCACACACTACTATAACATGCTTAGTCAGAATCTAATTATGTGATTGACTGAAACAAAGTCATACATCTAGAAGACCCGTGACTAAACTAACCAAAACATGAACCCTTGGTGAGTAGCCATCTTGAAAAGCAATCCTCAAAACAACTTCTGCATACTAGAATAGATTGCTACTGTTTGGTGAAGCAAATGCTGCTCAGGTGATAATAACATGCACAATAACTACTAGTACCACAGTCAGCTGGCGCACACGTGGTAATAAAATAAATACAACATTTACTATATGGAGGCGGCGATCTTGAATGCGGCGTAAAACTAAATAAGAGACAAGTTGTGAAACGCGTTTTTGCGCGTCTTGCACTGCCCATTCACAGCATTGTACCAGAAAATCGTATATAATTTCACTATGCAATTTTAGTAATAGTAACAATAATGGTGACTTACTTTTTCCATAAAACATAACTATAAATGTTGCATTTGCGAAGTCGCTTTCAGCAAAACACGTGTAGTTACCATAATCATTAAATTCCGTTTTACTAATTGTAATTATGCTCTCATGTAATGTTCCTTGAGTAGAATTATATATTGTAATTCTGTCATTGCATGTGAGAACATTTCCATTTGGACCAAACCATTGTAATGTAGAGGTAGGATTGCTGTTAAACTGACATCGTAGTTCTCCTGTTTCACCATCATTAGCTCTTGACTGTTCATTTTGGTTTTCATTCACCGGAAAAGGAGTATCTGCAAGACAAAATTAGATAGTCAACGAGACTATCTTATAGGACTTATAGGAGTGGCATTTAAAAATTGTCATACAAGTTGCAAATTTGTTCGTCAATAATTGTCTGCATCCAAAGCCTTTTGTTATTTTATTGTTCTTATTCTGCCGATTTTCAAAACTCTTCTTCTCGAAGACGGGTTGTCCACTTAAGCTGAAACTTCACAGACACAATCTCTATGAAATTCTCTAAAACGTCAAAGTTTCCGATTTTCGATATGTGACGTCATTCGGCCGCCATCTTTGATTTAGTAAAACCAGGAAGTGCTCGATTGCACCACTTCCTGGGGGTCTGTTTTCATGTAGCATGTTACCAATATTCATGAAAAAAGAATTGAGCGAACAAGTGGCCTTTGCCGCAATATTTTTTTTCTTATGTGATCAAAAAATCACTAAAATGGATATGTCATAAAATGAAACTTAGCATACATGTAGAGAGTAATAGTGTCATGCCTACAACAATTGCTCTGATTGGTCGAGGAGTTGACCATATTTGGTCATATACCTCATTAAATATGCATGTCTCTAATATCTCAAGCACTGTTGCAAATACAAATATGCAACCAACGCTATATTGAAGACATTCAACGAGAGAATTGACCAACATTTTCAATGACCATTTGTAGTCAATAAACTCATCAATTATGCATGTCTCCATTATCCCACGCACTCTTGCATGTACAAACATAGAACTAATACTATATTGAAGGCATTGGACAAGAAAGATAACTAACATATTCAATGACCATACAAGGTCATATACCTCATTAAATATGCATGTCTCTAATATCTCAAGCACTATTGCACATACAAACATGAAACCAATGCTATATTGACGACATTGGACAAACGAAATTGCTAAAATACTCAATGACTATATATGGTCATAGAACTCATTAAATATGCATATCTATAATATCTAGAGCACCATTGAAGTTAGGGACATGGAAATAAAACTATATTGAAGGCAATGTATAAGACCATCGTGTAACCTACATGTATACAGATTGCACAAATGAAATTTTTCAAACTTTTTTTTTCAAATTCAATGGTATTACGGCCCTTTACTAAAAAGCCGGATAGACTGCTCTCAATATAGTGAACTGGTCATGGTTCACCATTTACTATCACCAATTATCCATAACATCACCTTTCCCCGCCTGTTAGCATAAATGTGACCTGTTTTCCTTATAGAATATTCAGTTCACCATGCTGTGATTAGATCAACACACATTGTGATCAATTTGCCTATAGTATATAGTAAACTGATCACAGCATATGTCTACATTACACTAGATATTACATAAGTGTATTGTCATAACTATGTTGCATTAATTAATGCAACTTGTAGCTATATTTATCTTTATATCTGTCAATGAACAAAGATCGTTTATTTTATTTCTATAGAAATTTCAATTTTTATCTATTTCATATTTATGTTCAGTCTGATCCTTATATTATCGTCAAATCATTCAGAATAAAATCCTCCAGTTTTCCTGTTTGTGCATTCAATTCTCAGTGTTTTACTTCAAATATAAATAAACTCTGCTAAAGAATAAACATATAATTAAGTCAATACTGGGACTACAATCAAGAGTTCTACACGTATATTGTAGTTTTGTTCTGCATATATCTGATACAATAATTTTGCTCATTAAATTCAGCATATCAGAAAGTCAATCATAGTATGAATTAACTTCCATTCTTGTTATGATTAGGGACATATTTGCAATGTTTACATTTAGTGATTGTTTCTGTATTTTTCTTCGTGATTATACTGTTGGTTGTTTTTCTGCCAATATTTCCTAGTATTCTCACTATGTGGTTTTTATATTGTTGATACCAGTTAAAATTGCATTGACTACTATCTTTACATTATAGTGATCATGTGTGTATGTTTCATTTCAGTAATATTGAATTGAGGTGCTAGGCAAGTATTTATATACAAAGCTAGATAATATCTGACACTAACTTGTTCAAATGATATTAACAAACTTGATTGTTATTAACTTTTCATTCCCATGACACAAATGTTGTGTTTATTTTTAGTCCACTGATAATGAATTGTTACATTGTAATTTAACCGTTGAAATTAATTCAACAATAGATACTTACAATGTACATTAAGGATCACTGCATTTGACTGTTCACTTTGTCCCACCTGACTGTTCTCAGCTTTACAATATAATTCATTATTATGATGATGATATGTTAATGTAATTGTCATCTCTTGTATTGATTTCCTTCCACTGTATATACTATCCATATACACAAGCTGATTAGGAACAGTGATCATTTGGTTGCCATGGTACCATATCAGGCTAGCATCCGGGTTACTGCTACATGACGTGCATGTGAGGAGCAAAATGTCACCAACTATAACATGTCCAGTATTGCCAGGGTAAGCAGATAGTAAAGTACGGCATCCATCCGGGTAGACTGGAGAAACTGATTATAAATTAATTGAAAGATTAGTAACAGTAAATGTTATGTGGCACATAATTCAACATCTGAAGTTGATTACAAGGTTCCCACTACTTCCAAGGTAGTGGCGAAAAAAAATGGAACTATAAATAAAAAAACACATCTCCATTGATTTGTGAAGTCCCCGTCTTACACTCAAAACACTGTTTACGTGTGTGGTAATATAAGGATACTGCAAAGTGCGCGAAGACATTACAGCTGGAGTAACGACTGACCTATAGTGGAAGTAAGTGCGACCACGTTCAGATGGAGAATATACTTTGCGATATATGCTAGTGGTAACCTTATTACTGTTCATCTTCCCGAACTAACCACTTGGTATATAGGAAGCCCAGAGCAGAGAAATATGGTGGCAACTATGAAAATATCTCGCTACAGTTTTCAATTTCAAAATCATCCATCATATTGGAATATTGTGTCACAAAATGATGGAATGGTGTAATTTATGGCCATACAGTGAAAAATGTACACTGCAAAGTCTCCATGTATGTGCAATTATTGTTGTTTTATAAAAAAAACTATCTGGGAATTAAAAATACCCGGCAGTCAGATAAAGACCAGTATAGTATGAGGTTAGAATCACTAGCCAGCAGTGTTCATTGTTTAGCACAAATATATAGCCAATTTCATCAAAATCTGTTTGAAAGTTTTGGTGATTTTGCGCACATGGGCCGAAATTAGATAATAAGCAAATTCGATACTTAATACACATGGTATTGGCCCCCAAACAAATCGTTCATGCTCATTACCCCCCCCCCCCCCCAGTACCTATGTACTAAATTTGATCAAAACCTGCTAAGGTGTTCTTGAATTTTGCTTAATAATGAGATTAATAATATTCGAATTAGTTTTTGTAATATGCATTAACAAGGCCCTAAAACTGACCATGTCTGCGCATTTTCGAAAGGAACTATACACCAAAATCAGCTCCGATCATGGTACAAGTGTAGTATATGATGTCATCATAGGGCGTTACATCTACCAATGACTGAATCTGTGTCAGTAAACAAAGGGGCATACAAACATGTGACAATAGAGTGTATATCATTCGTCTTTCCTTACTGTAACTTGGCTGTATTTGATTCTACTACAATGCCATTGAATAAAATCGAACCATGCATGAAAATTAACAAGCCATGTAATTGCCAGTGTCACTTCGTTTGTATTCATACTCCGAATACGATGTGTTGTTCATACAAGGTGCGTAAAACACATAACATAAATTTAACGATTATTTCGCGTACATGTATATTTATGACTAATTGACCAAACACAGATTTTAGAACATATAACCATGGTTACAAGCAAACCTAAAAATTGAACAATTAATCAGCTAGGATAAAAACTTTGATTTTGCATGAACCCATGATTGAACACTCATAACTGTTTGAAACATGCTACCCTGTCGGTTTCATGCACAAATTATGCCGAATCTCATTGAACTTGTAAAATAACAATATATCATATTTTTATATTATTTCTTATATATATTCATACTGCGTCTTGCACATTCTAATTGTCCAAAAAAGCGATTCCACAGGGCACCACGAATCGTGGTACCACATGTATCTTTCCTTTTACACGCCAGCGATTTGAAGTAGTCATATTGTATCTCAAAATGTCCTAATTGACAATGAAATTGTGAAAGCAAATTAAAGAATTATACTCACAATACACTGTAATGGGTACACTATTTGAATTAACATCTACAGTGACTTGTAAATTCCTTGCTTTACACTTATACTCTGCTTGGTTATCTTCAGCTCTTGTTGTTATTGTTATTTGTTGTTCTGATATCTTGCCATTGTAGTCACCATTAGTTTCAGTTAGAGTCCCAATATTGATATTATCATCGTTATCATCTATTTTATTATTATTCCTGTACCACAGTATAGTAGCTGATGGGTTACTAGTTGTCGCTGTACAGGTTAACAGTATATTGCTACCACTGGTAACAGCACCAGTATAACCAGATAAAGTAGCACTATCAGGTTTAACTAAACATAGAATAAATAAAAACAATGTTTCCATCATTTATAACTCTAATAGATGCAACTTTGGAGTGAAATGCTGTAAAAATTAAAACAAATGAGGAAAGTTATGTCTTACGGATCTTGCACCCAGCAAAAAATGTGTTAATATTGCAATTATTTGCATTTTGTGTCAACAATAATGAGATGACACAGCAATACGTAGCTTAACAAGGCAAACAAGAACAAGACCATTATGAACTAGATTTAACCAATTGCGGGGCAGTTATCTTGTATTGAAGTACTCTTTAATTTAATGCACAGAAATATATGCTATGATATTCACACACAAAAACACACAAACATATGCTATATTAAGGGCCCACTCATGACTTCAGTGATTCATTCAAGTTTTATACCTGCTGTGTGGCAGAAGAATAAGTGAATACCAATCAACGTATGTGATAATTATCACGAGGCGTCTTGGTCGTATTATGAAAAAAACGAATTATTGTTGAAAAACGACGCAAATGTGCATTAATTAATTTATTGTATTACGCGTTGTACCCAAAAGAAGAATGAAATCTAAATTGATAGCAGCCCACAATTAGATATAGGTTTTTATAGCCCAGTAGACGCATTTGACGCCACACAAACAGAGAGTTGGTCGTGTTATGTGGCCCAGATATCACCCCCAGACAAAACTGGATGAGTGTACGTGTGATGAACGAATAAGTGTCGTAGGCCAATTCAGCATTCACACAATTAGCTGCGTGACGTTATGGTATTTAAAAACTGCGACAGCGTATTTATGACGTTGCT